AAGTATTTGTATATACACAGATACACATGCACAAGACATACATCCAAAGGCATACACATGCACATATATGCACTTATCACATTTGGATAAGTTTTTCATGACTTGATTGTATGGAATAATTATATTCATGTACTTTATGCAGCAGCAGCTGAAATGTGATGCTAATGTTATTAATTATATTCCTGAGTCAATTAATATGAATTGAAAGCTAAAAACACAATTTTTAATTTGTTCTCTGCAACCATCACAAAGAATCTCCATTTAGGGGTTTCTCTTTGTGTTATGATTAATTAGATTTAGCGTACTTGTATTTCACCTTTTGAAATACCTGCTTTTTTGTTGCTTTTTGTTTTTTTACTTCTAGGTGCTGAGTATGTAGTAAAATGTTGGAGGTTGTTAAAAAAGTAAATGATTACACGCACACACTCACACTCACACCCAGTCAATCAGTTAGTCACATAAATCATGATTTCTCTGAAATCTGACAGCCACTTTCTGGGAAGATTAGAAAATCAATATTTAAAGGTTGCTCAATGAAAGTCAGTATTAGAAAAGTACTGATGATGGTGGCAGCCTTCTAGTTGTGAAGGGATTAAAGAGTAATTAGATAGTTTACCAAGCAAAATCTATATGATTACAGATTTTGCACTATAGTGACAAATCACAATCACAACATGAAGTCAAACTGGTCATATATGAATAGGTGTAGCCATAGTGTGATTGCACTGCATCTGCAGAGTGAAACCACCATAGATTATCTATATACATTATGCAGATGTACTGTGGAAATGTATGATATCTGTATGTTATTAATTTGTCCCTCAATATTATGCATGCAGGACGAATTTAGGTGTGACTTGGTGACGACAGATATATATCATTATATATCAGTCGAACAAGAAACATGAACTAAGAGAATGGAAAATTATTACTGTTGTTCTTTTCGCATAAGGCTTTTGGGCACAGTAGTCATAAAGGTGTTGTTAGGATGCTTTCAGCAAGCATGATTTTCATTGTGATTTTCATTATTTTCTTCTTGTTTTTGGCTTTGAGACATATGCATACAGCTGTATTTTTGGATAGCTTGCAAAAATGTTACTAATGATAAAAGTAATGATAATGATAATGATAACAAAAGTTTTAAATAGTTGACTGTGTATTTCAAATTTCAGTGTATTGATGTGAAACAAAAAATTCATTTGGTATTTACAGTATTATAATGAAAGTTTTGCTTGCTTTTCTGCAGGTAGTTATAATTTTTGCTTATTATTTTTTTACATCATGTCAGTCTGTATTGAGCAGGAAGACTGAATGACGTGTAAGCTTGTATTTTCACATGTCAGGTAGTAAGTAAATCATTCTGCTTGTTTTTGAACAAAGTTTTGCTTGCATATTTTAATCATTATCAATGATATTTTGTAGCTTTCTCTGTTTTGGAAGAAGGGATCATATATAAAAGCTTTGTCTATTAATCTCGCAGTTTATCTTACCATAGATTATGTGCACAGATGGATGTAAAAACTTCATATCGTTTTGTCATACAGACAGTGACTATTCTCTACCTGTATATTTTGATTAGTCCTTTTGTCTTCCTAATTTCTTTATTACTATTTGATTTGGCCATTATTGAAGACAACCTCATAATCTCAAGTTGAAAACTACATGTGTTTGTTATAACTGTGTTATTTATTTGCAGCATGTAAGGGGCATAGAACTATTTTTTGATTATTTAATAGTTTAAAATTGGATATTAGGCTGTTTTCTTATATGTACCTGTCTGTTCTTTATTGACTCTTCCTATAAGGGTGATTGTTGAAAACAAACCTATCTTACAGGACTCAAATCTGTTGGTCTAAGCTTATTATAAATATATTATGATTATGCTTGCTAAATAAGTTGGAGTGGTTGTGAATATTTATTCCATTTTAAATAGTTGTGATGTTTTATTAGTTCAGTAAATGGTAAACATATTTATTTTGATGTTAAAGTAATGTAGTTGTTAAATGATATTAGGCAACATATATATATCTTTATTGTTAAAATATTTTTATAGTATTCAAATTTATTACATATTCTTTCCTTACTATGTACCTGTTACTATATATTTTCCTTTTGCATAATTTAACAATAACATTCACAAATAAACACCATCTCTGAATTACACGAAAAATTACATTCACTTTGGTCTTATCTTTGTTTTATTTATTTTTTTTTTTTTTTTTTTTTTTTTTTTTTTTTTTTTTTTTTTAGATGCAAGATCAAAAAACACCACTACTTCTCTCCTTCCTGTTACAATCCAAAAATGTGAGCATTCAAGGGTGTTATACCCTGTGGTGCTTTTGTGTATACGTTATGAGGATTATTGTGACTGAGTATATTATTCATAAAGTGTTTATTTGATTTGATTGATGCTGTGTATATAATGTACTTGATATTCAAGGTACTTAAGATTATATTTGCTTTCAGTGGATCAATGATATATAATATTTTGTCAGAAGTATGTTGTGTTTTTCTCACCTTTGTATTTTTTTTCTTCTTTTTACGAATACTTTTTACTTTTAAAATTTACCTACGGCCATATTGATATGGATGTGTTTACCAGTCTTATAAATATATTCATAGCAAAAAGTAAACAGGAACATCAACAGTAATGATTATAATAGTGCTAATGCAAGTTATAGTGCTAAGTAAAATGGTAATAGTAATCAAAGCGACAATTGTAAAATTAAATTGACAGAGTTGTTATAATGGTATAGTTGTGGAGGGACAAAAGAGAAACTCTTGATTTAAAAGTGATGCCAATGTCACGAATCTGATACAGGTTAAAAGTTGTTCCCTTCTACAAATGTCGATTGTGTGTCCCATAATAATAAGCACATGTTACAAAAGAAGGAAAACAGACATAATCACTGTATATCTATTAGAGAAGGAATATCCTTAAAATATGATTGTGAACTTCAGTCATTCTATACTTTTACTGGATTTCTTTAAGGATTTTTTTTTTTTCAGTTTCTTAGGCTTTTGTATCTATTGTTCTTAATAATAATGACAGTTATAATTGCAATATCAATGAGGAGGATTAGAGCATTGGCAACAATAGTGATTATAAATAATGATAGTAAAACTAACTTATGATAGCAATATGATTATACAATAGCACTGATGGCTTCAGTAGATGTAAAAAAAAGAGTATCATTTTGATAGCTCCTGCACAATAATTTTGATGATGAAAAGAAAATGTGTTTAAAAGGAATGTGTGAAAATGTATTGCACCGTGAATTATGATAGAAATAAATGATGAGGATAAAGCAGCTGACAGAAATGTCCAATACCACTTTTTTTTTTTTTTTTTTTTTTTTTTTTTTTTTTTTTTTTTTTTTTTTTACTCCCCTTAAACTGAAGCCTGAATCTATCCTGATATTGTGTCAAAAGTTTTTTTTTGACACAACTGTGGATACAGATCAGACACATGTATATATGTTTGTAGGTGTGTGTGTATGTATGTATGTATGTATGTGTGTATGTGGATGTATATGTATATGTGTGTGTGTATGTATGTGCATGTGTGTGTGTGTGTGTGTGCTTGCATGTGTGCGCGTGCGTGCGTGCGCATTTACTTGCACTTAGTGCCATTTTCATTGTTAAGTTATTTCAACATAATTTGCCTGTAACCTACAGTTTTGGTGATATTTTTCCTACTTGAAATTACAAGCTGCTCCAGGTGTAGTTAGTTATTTTCACTATATATATATATATATATATATATATATATATATATATATATATATATATATATATATATATATATATATATATATATATATATATATATATATAATATATATATTATATAATATATTATATATATATATATATATATATATATATATATATATATATATATATATATATATATATATATATATATATATATATATGATATATATATATTATATATATATATATATATATATATATATATATATTATTATTTATATATATATATATTTTTTTTTTATCCCTTTGCACTCTACATACAATTTTGCTAAAATAAGCTGTAGCAGTATTATCACTATGATCACAGTCCTATTTATTTATTAAATGCAATGAAAAGTGATTATCAAACCCAATAACATCAAGAACTTTTAAAAGGTTATCCCAAATCCACTAACATCTGGGTGTAGAAGGAAGAAAAACATTGCATCAATGCTTGGACATTTATGATTTTTGTGATACACAAAATCTACAATAGTCATGTAATCGCCCAAACTTTATATCTTGCCACAAATCAGTAAATTATAAATAACAAAAAACAAATGCTAGCATATGAATCAAGCACAAGCAAGTAGCATCGGAAAAGATCACACATGCTTTTACATAAATATAACAATTACAGTCTCGTTCACAACCTCTTCAAAGATTCAAACAACCGTACTTTCAGTTGTAGTTCTGCTTCTTGTACCTGAGACGTGATGGCATTTTGCTAGTCCGCAAAACCCTCACACATTACATGGAATTAAAACGATGAAATGACATACAACCACAACAAGAAAAGAAACTTAGTGTATTTTGTGCGTGTCTTTTCTTCCAGTTGAAGTTTTCAGATAACCTGTATCACCCGAGGGCGTAGGCAACCAAACTACACACAAATGAAAGCTTACATTGCAAAGCTATTAGTACTGTTGCTTGGGCTAAACTACAGATGAAAAGCCCTAACGTTTTCCTGAAGTTAGTTTCGTAAATGTTTCACTACTTTTTTCCAGTTTGCTCTTTACCATAAGAAGGTTGTAACTTTACTTGACTGTAGAGAATACTTAACATTACCAGTGCTCAAAAAATAAATAAATAAATAGATAAATAGATAAAAATAGCATTGCAAGCTAAATCCTATTTTATAGCTGGATTAGTATTCATTCATATGTTCATATAACAATTTAAAAAATTATACAATAGTATAATTGTATCAACTGCTGATATTAAAGAACATATGATGCAGATAATAAAGAACATAGAGAAATTAATAATCATAATGATGATGATGATAATAATAAAATTAATAATAATAATAATAATAATAATAATAATAATAATAGCAATATTGATAACAATAATGATAATAATATAATGATAGTTACAAGGATAATAATACTAGAAATGATGATAATAACAATGATAATAATGATGTCAATAATAGTAATAAAAAACTGTAATAATGATAATGACGATGACAAAAATAATAACAGTAATAATAATAACAATTAAATCAGTTTTGCTTTCCTTTTGGTATAATTAGCTCCATACTAAATACTAGCAGTAACATAATTATAACACTAACCATAAGCACGATAAGAAAGCAAAGAAACACTTCCATTCGACATAATAATGAAGAAATTACATGCAAATTAGTTTTAAGAAGGGATGATGACGATAATGATCATAGTAATAACTGCAGCAATAATAACAATAATAATGATAATAAGGTCATGAATAATAACGATGATAATGATAATAACAATGGTAAAATTGATAATAATAATGAGAAAACGAATAATAATAAAAATAATGATGATAATAATAATGATCATAATAATAACAATAACAATAATCATGATAATAATAATAATAATAACAATAATCATGATAATAATAATAATAATAATAATAATAATAATAATAATAATAATAATATAATATAATAATAATAATAATAATAATAATAATAATAATAATAATAATAAAATAATAATATAATAATTAATAATAATAATAATAATAATAATAATAATAATAATAATAATAATAATAATAATAATTAACAACAACAATAATTAATAATAATAATAATAATAATAATAACAATAATGACGATAATAATAGTAATAATAATAATAATAATAATAATAATAATAATAATAATAATAATAATAATAATAATAATAATAGCAGCAACAATAAAACATAACATAACAATCATCATTATTATTACAAATCCAATAATATTTATGGTAACAATGCTATCAGTAAAGTATTTTACCAGTGATGATGATGATAATAATAATAGTAATAATAATAACAGTAAGATGATAATGAGATGATTATACTAAACTAAAGATATTGCAAAAACTACATTTTTTTCCTTTTACTATTATCATATACTTTAAATCTTCACCAGAAGATATAATGGATAATGATAATAGTGGTTACGTCATCAAAAACAAGCAAGCTGTCTACATTACCTACTTGAGCAAACGTCTTAGCTTATTTTTTTCTGTATTTTTTCATTAATATGTAGCCTATTCTGGTAGATCACTCCTTACGACCAACGCAAAAGGGATACAAACGTATAATCATTTGAACAATCGTTTACACTTTGTAATGAACATATGACGAGTCTTCCGTAAAATCAGGTATGGAGAATATTCGAAAAGACAAAGAAAAGGAAACATTTCTGTGTTGTTTCCTATCGAAATTCCGCAGGAAGGATGCAGTCTTGTTATGTGCAGTCGTTTCTGTTTGCAATAGTGGGCCAGTTGCAAATCTGCATCTGTTGGTCCCATACAGTGCCTTCCTTGCAAGAGAACTCTACAGGCTCTCCGTGGACACACCAGTAGTACTGTGGATAAAGGTATTTTGAATTAGGGGTAATTCGGGAACGCATTGTATGCCAACATTCTTGAATAAAGTATCAAGTATCGCAGAAGAATTCACCGTTGGTGGAACTTATTTAACCATCTATTAATCTCTCAGTTCACCAATTCATCCGTCTATTTATGTATTTGTTCATAATAATCTTTCACCTTACCTTATTACACATGGCATGAGGGTAGTACTGCTGGACGCCGCAGTCAAACTGGCCTGGCTGCAGGGGCTCGGGCGGGGGGGCGACCGCGGCCGGAGGAGGTGCAGCTTCGGCCGGAGGAGGTGCAGCTTCGGCCGCAGGAGCAGCCTCTTCCGCTGGTTTCTTGCTGGTCTCCCTCATGGGCGTGGGCGTGGTGGACGAGGGCTGCCACTGCGACCACCAGGTGACCTTTGGCGTGGTGGTCGTCGGTGGGGGCTTGGGAACGACGTAGTCCTTCATGTAGTCGTGGAGGACGGTGATCAGAGGGTTGACGGAGCCGCAGGTGCCATGGAAGTCGTCCATGTCGATAGCCCAGGTCATGGCGCCGCCGTAGCCGTTGCCGATGATGAAGTCCATCTTGATCTTGAGGCTCTCCACGTCCTCGTAGCCGACCCATTGATCGCCTGAGGTGGGCAGCGGAGGAGGTCAGGCATTGTTATAAATCGCATACCAAGAAGCATTTGGCCAAAGAAAATAATTGATGCAGTAACAGTTAACGAGAAAACTTCCTATGTCTAAAACGAATATCTTATTTTGAAAACAGTATTTATATATCGCTGGGAGATAACGAAATAACGAAGAATCAGAGAACCGACTCACCGTTGTGGGTGTAAGGGCACTTTCCGATGTCGTCGAACTTCCTCGGCCAGCCGGACTGCGGG